AGTGTGTCAACTTGACACACCTGGGTTGAGGGAGCCTCAATTGGGGAATTCCCTTCATTGGACTGGCCTGTGGCCATGTCTGTGGGTATTTTCTTGATTGATGTGGGAGGGCCCAGCCCACTGTGGGTAGTGCCACCCCTGGGCAGGGGCCAGGGGAGCAAGCCAGTATGGCCTGTGCTCCAGCTCCTGCCTCCAGGTTCCTGCCCTGAGTTCCTACCTTGGGCTCCCTGATGAACTGCGACCTGGGAGATGTAAGCTGATAAATCCTTTCCTCCCCAAGCTGGTATTGGTCAGAGTGTTTTGTCACAGCAATGAAGAAAACAAACCAGAATACCAGTTAAATGTGGGGCTTTCTGTTCAGTGAAGAGGTGACTCTGGCTGGGCTACTACTACATATGAAAGTCATGGATTAGGAGAGTGGTCTTGCAGTGGCCAGCACGCCAAGGAGAATCAGGAGTCTCTATTTTGGGGCCTTCTTTCCTTTGATCACCTTCCTTGAGCTTTTTCTCATTTCTTCCCAAAGGAAGGTACTCTCTCTTTGTGACTAAAATGGCTATTGTGGCATGGAAACTTCATCTACACTGCTTCTCTGCAAACAACAGCTACACACATGGATGGGTTATGCAGTGATTTTCCTATGATCTTAGGGGCTCAAATCAGCCTCAAGGATAAAGGAAAGAAAAGATCTCAATTCAGGAAGGATTTTTTGGGGGGACAGAACTACAGAAGGTTAATCATCAATACCTTCCTCTCATATAGATGCTAAATCCATTCCTCTCATATGGATGTCCTGTCCTTGAAGTTTTGGTTTTTGAGACAGGGTCTCATGTAGCACAGGCTGGCCTCAAACTTGTTATGTAGAAGGGAATGGACTTGAATTCATCCTCCTTCCTCAGCCTCCTGAGTGCTGGATTACAGATGTGCGCCACCATGCCCAACTCCTACTACAGTTGTCTCTGAAGCAGTTTACCTATCCATCCTTTCATCTCTCTTTGCTGTCAGCTCCACTGAGAACAACTGCCCTTGACCCAATTGCAGTTTTCACTGTCTGCAGGTACCAAGGAGTTCTTACCACTGAGTATGTCTATGGTGACTAGCTGGTGTTTTCCCGTTTCTTTTTTGTGTAACTTGAACTTTTGTTCTACTGCTTCTGTCACTGTCACCCGTCCTTCCCAACTTTAAGAATATTTCTTTAAAAAAAGCTAAACTACGGTTTGGAGGGATTCTGTCCATTTTTCTAGTATAGGGCACCTTAATGCTTTTTTTTTTTTTGGTCTTTTTGAGACAGGGTCTCCTTGTAGCCCCAGCTGGCCTGGAACTCACTATGTAGACCAGGCTGGCCTTGAACTCACAGAGATCCGCCTGCCTCTGCCTCCTGAGTGCTGGGATTAAAGGTGTGCGCCACCACGCTCAGCCCTTAATGCATTTTTTACTGAACCTGGTAAAGTTGGTATAGTCCAACTTGAAGATCACAGACCTGAGAATTAAAAAGACTGAAAATACATGTGGACATAGGGATAGCCTATATGCTAAGAATGTACTCAAATGTTCAATCTACCCGATACTACTATTGATTCTATAATAATACAATAATAAGAATTAGAATTTGCATTGAACATTCCATCAAATCAAAAAGATTCCAAAACAAGGCAGGCATGGCGGTGCATACCTTTAGTCCTAGCACTCGGGAGGCAGAGGCAGGCAGATCTCTGTGAGTTCAAGGCCAGCCTGGTCTATATAGTGAGTTCTAGGCCAGGTGGGGCTATAGGGAGGCCCTGTCTCAAAAAAAAAAAAAAAAAAAAAAATCCAAAGCAGAGAGCATCCCAAAGATCTAATTTAGTCTAAAGCTTATTTTACAGAGCGCTCTAGAAAGACAGGCAAAGTGTTAGATATGGTGGTACATGTAGTCCTTTAGAAAACTTAAACAGATTATAATAAAGAAGCCAGACTGGGCTATACAGCAAGTTCTAGGCCAGCATGGCCTACATTGTGAAACCCTATTTATTTATTTATTTATTTATTTATTTATTTATTTATCTATTTTGTTCTTTTTGAGACAGACTAGCCTGGAACTCGATATATAGATCAGGCTGGCCTTGAACTCACAGAGATCTGCCTGCCTCTGTCTCCCAAGTGCTGGGGCTAAAGGCGTGGGCCACCATGCCCAGCCAATAAACTTTTTTTTTTTTTTTTTAAGAGTAAGGTAACTAACATTGAACGACTTACTTATCTCAATTAACCCCCACAATAACTCTAAGAAGCAGGTCATAAAGTTGACGTTTCACAGAATGAGGAAACATGCAGAGGTTGAGTAGCTCATCAAAGGAACTACAGTTAATAAATAAATAATAGAACCACTATTTAAACTGGTGTCTTTCTGGATCAAGCGCCCGTGGTGTCACTACTCAAACTGATTGGTTAGGAATGTGGCCCACAGAACCTCTCTTCACTTTTCTATTAATCTATATGTGATAGAAATATTCCACTTGCATATCTAAGCCATTTTAATGGTTTCCCTTAGAAAATTACTTAGGGGCTATGATTTGGATCCAGAATATTCCCCAAAAGGTTCATTTAATAAAGGCTTGACCCCTAGCTTGGTACTATGGGAGGTGATGAAAACTTTAAGAGATAGAATCTAGGGGCTGGAGAGATGGGTCAGAGGTTAACAGCACTAACTGTTCTCGCAGAGGTCCCAGGTTCAAATCCCAGCATCCACATGGCAGCTAACAACAATCTGTAACTCCAGTTCCAGGGGATCTGACACCTTCTTCTGATCTCCACAGGCACTGCACAACACGGGTGCACTTACATACAATGCAGGCAATACACTCATACATATAAAATAAAAATAATAAATAAAATATTTTAAAGTAGAGTCTAGTGGGAGGCCTTTCAGAAATTGGGGGGCATGCCCTTGAAGAATGAGGAGTCCTAGCTCCTTCCTCTTACTCTCTTTTCATGTCCTAGTCATGAAGTGATCTACTTTGTTTCACCCCATGCTCCCTCCCTACCAAAAGCAATGGGCATCTAACCATAGACTGAAACTTTTAAAACTCTGAGCCAAAATCAACCACTTATTTTAAAAACTTGATTTTCTCAGGTACTTATTTGTAACTTATAACAGAAAGCTGACTGTAAACCCAAGGGTCTACCTAGCAACAATGAAGGAATGTCAGAATACAAGAATGGAAACAGAGCTGAGTACTGGAAGAACACAGTACTTGGTATATATTAAAAGTGGCTCTTTCCCTCGGACAGTGATGGCTGTGAGCAGTGCAGCCACGGTCAAGATTAAGGCTTGGGACCTTCCTGGCAAGGAGTAGAAGGAGCTGCTGAAACAGCAGGCGGATCTGAAGGTGGAACTGTCCTAGCCACCTGTTGCTAAAGTGGTCCAAATTCTTTAAGATCCGAGTTGTCCAAAAATCTATTGCCTGTGTCCTCACCGTCATTAACCAGACTCAGAAAGAAAACCTCAGGAAATTCTACAAGGGCAAGAAGTACAAGTCCCTGGACCTGTGGCCTAAGACAAGAACCATACACCGCTGGTTCACCAAACATGAGGAGAAGCTGAAGACCAAGAAGCAGCAGCAGAAGGAGCAGCTATACCCACTGTACAAGTACATGGTCAGGCCTGAGGTCGCTGCAGTTTGCAATAAGACACAAAACTGGCTGGAAAAAAAAGTAGATTTTGAAGTTCATGGTGGTGCATGCCTTTAATCCCAGCACTCAGGAGGCAGAGGCAGGCAGATCTCTGTGAGTTCAAGGTCAGCCTGGTCTACATAGTGAGTTCTAGGCCAGCTGGGGCTATAGGGAGACTCTGTCTCAAAAAGACCAAAAAAAAAGTGAATTTTGTCAGACTTGGAATTGTTATAGAGCTGAAAAACTAGAAATGCCTTTGGGAATTAATTTTTTGCTTACCACAAGTTTCTAGACGGCCAGGGAATTATGTAACAGTTACAACATAAGAATTTTAAGATATATGAGAGCCAGGACACATGACGTGGAATAGGGTCCAAATCATCTTTATACTATTTTAATAACTCTGAAAGGATCATAAAGTAAGAACTATGCTTATCAATAGGAGATAAGTCTTCTTTAAGAGAAAGAGATTTTCTTGTAATAGCAATATAAGTCTGGGTTATAAAATATTGGGCATGATAAGGTGAAAACATATGAAACAGTTCCAGAAATAACCAAAACCAAAGAAAAATTAGAACCTAAACTCAATAACCCAAGTTAATGTCAAAGATAATAAACATTACCCATCAAGAATTGATTCACGGCAACAGTAGAGGTTATCAAATTTCTGTTTAGTGACTGAGTCATTGACATTCATGGCTGGAACACACAGTTTCCCAGCTTTGGACAGTTGGTACAGCCTGGGGATGAAGAATGTAAAGAGACATTACAATCTATTGTTGGTTTCATATCAGATCCCAGAAATACATTGACTGGGCATGAGAGCATAAGACATGACTAATTTCACCCTTCTAGACAGTATTGAGAAATAGAAACTGTGTTTCTAGAGGCTTTATACAGCTTATCAATAAAGATCTCATTAAAAAAATCATGTAGGAGCTGGGTGTGGGATTACATGCCTGTAATCCCAGCTCTTGGCAGGCAGAGGCAGGTGGATCTCTGTGAGTTCAAGGCCAGCCTTGTTTACATAGTGAGCTGTAGGCCAGCTGGGGCTACAAGGAGACCCTCTCTCAAAAAGACCAAAAAAAAAAAAATCATGTAGGGAAAAAAAAAATCTTTGACTTAAAAAAATTTAGGACTTTAAAAGTAAAATTTTAAATTCATATAAATTTTATGCCCCATTTTAGTGATAAAAGAAGTAATTTTGGGGCTAAAGAGATGGCTTAGCAGTTACAAGCAAGGCTCAGAAGTTAAGAGCTTCCTTCTCTTGTAAAGGACCAGAGTTCAGTTCCCAACATTCACACCAAGTAGTTCACAACCACCTGCAACTCCAACTCCAAGGGATCCGACACTCTCTTCTGGTCTCCAAAGGTAACTGCACACATGTGACGTGCATTCACACAAACATATATACATAAATAAAAATAAAAATGAATCTTAACTTTCCAAGTCTCAAATTCATAATCTCAATATTTAAGACCATAAATATGCATATCTATCATATATGAGTTTTAAACTGAGTCCATTAAAAATGAACAGGATTTGTTTTATTAAAAATTCATCACTGGGCTGGTTGTGGTAGCACATTCCTTTACTCTCCTTTAATCTCAGCACTTGGAAGGCAGAGGCAGGAGGATCTCCTTGTGAGCTCAAGGCCAGCCTGGTCTACACAGTGAGTTCCAGGACAGCTGGGGCTACAAGGCGACCCTGTCTCAAAAAGATTTGAGAAAAAAAAAAAAAAGTCACTCTTGGCCTGGCAAGGTGGCTCAGTAGTTACCTACTGAGGTACCTGTTGCCAAACCTGATGACTTGAGTTTTTATCTGCAGAGCCCACATGGTAGAAACAGAGAAATGATTCCTACAAGTTGTTCTCTGATTTCCACATGTGTACTGTGGCACTGACACACATAAATAAATAAAAATATCTAATCATTAAAAAAAAAAAATCATCCCTTTCTATGAATCTGAAGGTATAGGCTATAATCTTGTATACTCAAGAAGATTATAATACACTAAAGCAGTCATGGTGGCTTATTTAGAATTTATTTGCCTAAAGATTTATTTCATACTTTAAATTTTTTATGGGTAACAGAAAACAGAAATGATTCCAATTTTATTCAAAGAATTACACTCATTTTTTAACAGATCCCTAAATCCTTGCTGTCTATCAGTATATGAGCTCTGTGAAGGCACAGGTCTTTTTTTTTTTTTTAAATCAGTTTAGATACCATCAATTTATTATAAAATGGAGGCACAGAAATTATATACATGATGAAATATTTCAGAACTTTATGAATAAGCCACTTCATGTGATGTCATTTCAACAGTGATTTCAATCTTTCCAAAAGACATACTTTCCAGGACTTTCCATTTCTTGGAAATACATACTTTCCAAGACTGTCTCCATCTATAAATGAGAAATAATCCTTTTCATCTAGAACTACTTTGGTGCCTCTGTATTCTAGAAGAAGAACTCTGTCTCCAACTTCCACACTAACTGCTTGAATCTCCACCCTCATCTTCAGAGCCCAATCCAACAGCTACAATTGTTGCTTACAGTACTTTTCCTTGAGATTTTTCTGGAAGCATAATACCACCTTTGGCTACAGTTTCAGCTGTACGCCTTTCAACCAATATTTTGTCAAAAGTGGAAGACACTTTCTAAATACCTGACCTGCCAAGACTCTTACCAAAACAGCTCAGATTCTGCTCTCTCTACAAGACAGCTGCAGTCTGGCCACAGGAAACATGAAAAATGTATCTGTTTGTCTACTGTTAGACCTCTAGCACATTAAACATTGTAACAGCTCAATAAATATTTGTTGAACAAATTAATTTGTCCCAAAAGAACAAGTAGTCATTGCATTATAATGACAAGAAATCACGAGGACCCCACTTATTCCTCCATCTGTGCCCCATCACTATTTTAAGTTTGTAATTTGTGTCGTTACTTAAAAAAAAGTGTTCAGGCTCAGATCTTCTTACCTCATAGCAGGCTCCAATTTTTAGCATAATGTGTTATACAGACATATGATTACTAGATTATATATCTAAGCTAAGGATGACTATGTTAAATCTTACCTATGGACTCCAGTAACACTCTCCTCAACTATGCCCTTGATTTTCTTGAACATGTTGGGATACTTTTTATAAATCCAGTGAGTAAGATCTCCTCCATCATCCAGTATCTGCAACAGAAGCATCAGGAATGTCATTCATCTTGCAGAAGGCTTAGGTGTCAATGATTTTTAGGGTCCTGTATTCCAATTTGTAATTACTGACATACAGATATTACAAATTTTTCCATATAGTTATACAATGTAACTTAAAGCCAGAGTTAATATACTAATCTACCAAATAGTAATTATATTCAAATAAAAGACTAGGTGCAAGAAGGGTTAATTGTAATTCTTATAGTCAAATGAACCTCCCACATGACAGATCTACTTATACAGTAGATATATTCAAAACACATAGCAACACAATGAGAACTTTCTTACACTCAGCTTAAGTGGCTGTCTAGACCACTAGCTCTTGAATATACTACAGACCTTCTGAAAACTAATTTCTAACTGCTGATTTTAGTACTTTAAATAAATTCAGCTAAGGTTTAGTTTAAATAAAAGTACAGATAATTAGTCTCTCAGAACAACAGCTTTTAAAACTGTAGTTGTTAATCCTTTACTTCTCACAAAGCACAGGCATGCTCCCACCCAATATATCAGGCAGTACTGGAAGGTTTTGCCTAGCTCAACCTCATACTCTGTATAAGCCAAATTAAAAATAACCAGGGAACTGTGCACCATGTAGGTGTGCAAGCATGCCTCTGAACAGCTCATCATTATTTCAGGTTGGGATTAAAGATAAATACAATGAATGCTGTGCCCAATGGGGCTTTCATCAGCAAGGGGAAGTTTCTGAATTATAAATAAGGCATGAAGCAGTGGCATGTAGCCCTGTACTGGACTGTCAGACATGTATCCAGGAACTTTCCAAATTGTTATAACCATCCTCCTGGAAAGTCCCTCAAGCCAACTGTAACAGTCCAGTAGAACTGAGTTGTCCTCTGCTGGCATGCATCCATTTTACCCTTCTACGGTATCAACACTACCAAAAATGTCATCCTGAACCCCAGGGCATCCAAAATCCCCAACTTCAGGTATACCATCTTATTTCTTATTTTGCTTCTCTTCCAGTTACTTATTTTCTCTGATTCAACCAAATCTTGCCTGAAGCTGGGTATGGTGGTGTACATCTTTAATCCCAGAGGCAGGGGGATCTCTGTGAGACTGAGGCCAGCCTGGTCTTCAAAATGAGTTCCAGGCCAGGTTCCAGATACAGGAAAATGGGGCTGGAGAGATGGCTCAGTGGACAAGAGAACAGGCTGCTCTTCCAGAGTACTGGGGTTTCAGTTCCTAGGATCCACAGTGTCTGAAAACCATCTGTAACTCCAGTTCCAAGTGATCTCATGCTCTCTTCTGGCCTCTTTGGGCATTGCACACACACACTGAAAAAGACTAGGCGCCATGAGTACTCATGAGCCCACATGTTTAAAATTGACAAAAACCAGGACCAGCCTTATCAAAAGGCTGCAAGACGGGCAGGCGCCGGTCAAGCTTCACAGATCAAGCCATAAACAAGTTTTACGGGTAGAACTCCTGACCACCCTGAGGGCCCGATACCAGGAAATCAAGGGAAAAACACCTGTGCCTCTGAGGTCACCTCCCATTTAGCAATCCCACTTCCCCTTAGCCCCGGCCCTTACCCCATATCTCTGCATACTTTTGAAATTATTGTGTGTGTGTTTGAATTAACCAATAACTGCTCTTCTGCTTCTGTACCCTGCTTCTGCTCTATAAAAACTGCCAAACCCCAACCTGGGGTGTGCAAGTCCTCCGAGGAGACTCTGTGCCCACAGGTACCTGTGTATCAAATAAACCTCTTGCTGTTGCAACCCGAAAGGCTGACTTGTCCTCAGTGGTCTCACTCTTACA